TTTCTAAGTCATGGTCTTATTTTGAGATCTGATATATAGTCACTTTGCATGTTTTTTTAATGATTAGTCCCAGCAGGATTCACGCCAAGAAATGTATGAGACCAGATCAAATGAAATCAAACGTGAAATTCATGGTCTCAGCGGCCAGGCTAATTCTCTGTGTTAATCTCATGTATAAATTCTCATTTCAGTAGCAATTTCAGTGAAAGATCTGTTTGAAAGATCTTCTCATACTTCTTCAGAAGCTTCTTCATATGTTTATTCTCTTATATATTCTTTATCTTGATTTTCTCTGCTTTCAGATCCTGTATAACATACAGAATAGACTGACTGTGTGACCGTGTCTGAGACCAGGATCAGATTTTTTGATAGTTTCATTACCAATTCGACTGATCTCATTACACAGTTTTAACATTAGATAGTAGTTTCATACTATCTCAGTGGAACTTACTGTCTACTCTTGTCACATTTTCCAAATGAGATCATGATTTCCACTTCTCAATTTAAATTATTTTTATTGCTTTAAATGACTTTAAATCTCATTTGAGTGTTATCAAAAAGCGTTACTTTTTAAAAAATTAAAAATAGTCTAAAAAAACCCTTAAAATGTCTAAAAATAGTAACTTTATGTCAAGAATGAGACTAAATGAGATCAAATGAGATCACTTTCTCATTTTTTTCAAGTCATGGTTCCATTTTAAGATCTGATATATAGTCACTTTACATGTTTTTTTAATAGCCAGTCTCAGCAGGATTCACACCAAGAAATGTATGAGATCAGATCAAATGGAATCAAACGTGAAATTCATAATCCCGGCGGCCAGTCTAATACAGAATACTTTTGAATAAGGTTTTACAAATTATTCTCTTTGCTTGTTAATGTGTAAGTAGATTTAATCCTTTTATATCAGAGATGTGAAATGTTCTTCTCATATCAGTTAATAGAATTATATGAACTGTTTTCTTCTTATCAGTTAACTGTATATGATATGTACATCATTAGATCTGTGAATTAAATCTTTGAAATTAATTGAGTCTGAGAATAAGATAATATTTCACATTCTACAGCTCTCATGCTCAAATATAGCAAAATCATTCTCTGAAGTGCAAGGGAACTCTTACTCTTATAAGTAATATTAAATATTAATTATCAGACAATCTTATACATCAGAAATTCTTTACTCAGCAGATTTCTTTCAGTCTTCAGATTATATAATTATCAATATATTATATAAAAGCTTTTGTTATTATTATTATTATTATTATTATTCTTCTATTATACTCATATGCAAGCGCAGCTTATGATGAGTTCTTGCGTGATGTTAAATACAGGTTAAGTGTTGATTATACAGGAGGAAATACAGGTGTTGAGACCACGCCAAGATAACAAGAACATAGAAAAATACAAAGAAGTGACAATTAGATACATGCGATAATAACTTCCCAGCTCAGGAACATAGAGCAATTCATTGAAGCGATTTGTACACCTCTGTATTTATTAGAAACCTGAGGTGCTTGAGTTCCGGATTTAATGTATCCCCTGCGGGTTTCGAACCCACGCGCCTTGGTTTCCCACGCCAAGGTGCTACCGGGTGGCCGCATTAACCATTCGGCCACCGGGGCTAAAAGCTTCTGTATTCACTAACACTTTTACAGCTATCTCTTAATTCTTATCTAAGTGCTCTTTATATATTAACATTTCAAATCTTAAGACATTGAGATAAGTATTTACTTCATTATTCTTATCTACATCTAGACTGGCTGATGAGATCATGAATTTCACATTTAATCTCATTTAATCTGATCTCATACATTTCTTGATGTGAGTCTCATCAGAATCAAGTCTCAAAAAAATCTGAAAATGAATCATTTCTGAGAGAAATGATGTGAAAAATGACCAGATTTAATTCAAGAACAGTGAAATGAGAGTAATTTTTCAGAATAAACTGTGAAAGATGATCATTCTTTCAAAATCAGAATAAGACTGAGACTGAAGATTAAAATCAGTCTCATTCAGTTCATTCAGTAATTGCTTATATAATCAGAATTTGATAATGATTATTGATAATGCTCATGAAACAACTAAATACATTCTTATACAAGTTTATTCTTCACTTTCTCATGAAAACTACACTTCTCTGATATACTGTGATCAGAGGTATTAAACTGTCTGATAATTTCATGTTTTACAATCATGAGTTTCTTGATTATTTCTTCTTGTAATTGTCTCTGATGATAGTGACAAATATCTTGACTTGAGTTGAACTTTAACTTCATTCTCACCCCTGTCAATGAAATTATCAGAATATTATACATCATCAGTGTAATAGTTGAATATATACTCTCAATAATTTTTCATAACTCTAGAATTGATTTGATATGTAAATTTGTCAGATTATCTTGAAGATAGCAGTCAAATTCAGTTTTACAAGCATGTAGTTTTGCCTGATTTTCAGTTATAATCAATGTATGTAAGTTCTGTTTCAAAGTTAGTATTATAGTTCTATGTAATATGAAGCATTATCAAAGATCATTACTTACTAGAGAATTGTATTTCACTGTCTTCACATCTTGAACATTCGCTCATTCAAATCTCTGATAGTTGATATTGTAGTAGTCTCAGGCTAATTTAACATATAAGTCTCATTTCTTCTCTGTTCAATCTTGAGAAGTGTAGATGTTAACTTAATAGAAGAGATCTAGTAGAGCTGCTATAGTATAGTACTCTGTAAAAGATTGTTCTGTTTTACTGTAGTAATATGCCAGTTTATCTCTTACAGTAACAATAGCCTGTGCTATAGCATTATTTCAGACTGAATTTCTTTTTAAGTAATTCAACTGCTTCTCAAGATGAGTAAATAAACTATTATACACTCATCAGACTGACTACAGCATTAGTGTATAAGTGATTGAGACTGTCTTTATTATCTTATAAAACTGAAACAGTAAATCAATCACATATTTTAACTGAGTTCACTTTATATCAGAAAGTTTCAATATCTGAATCTTTTTTCAATCAGAGTATTGCATTTAATAATTAATTATCTGATACAATTGAAGAGTCTGAACAGTTATCTTATATATTGAACTTTACTGTGTTCTAACATTCTGTATCATATTCAGTGATGTGACTGATTTGTTTATTTATTGAATATTATGAAATCATTGTTATTGTTTAGAAGAGATACAAATCATATTAGCAATGTTTTGAATCTATGATATTTAAATTATTAGTCAATCTATTCAAAATTAACAGTAGTGTTATCAAAAAGTGTTACTAAAAAGCAATATTAAAAAGTGTTATCAAAAAACATTATCTTTTCTAAAGTGAATGTAAAAGTTACTTGAGTAATCACTTTCATCTCATTCTCATCTCAAGAATCAGTCATCTTATTATTCTTCATCTCAATATTAAGATTCTTTATCAGTGTTTGTATTACAAGTTGAACCACATGAGCAATGCAGAGAATATGACCTTGTTTATCATTTCAGAAATGCAAAGCCAATTTTTGCTCTAAGCTCTTCATCATAGTGTAGTTATTCACAGCATTATCAGTTGTAATTATAAGAAGACTGAGACTAATATCTCAATAGTTATTTTTAATCACAGTTATTAATATCTCTGTTATATAATTCTCAGTATGACTACTGATCAATGATTTAAATTTAATTAATGTCTCTTAATAAGTTCAGTTCTTATCAATGTAATAACATATAACTCTTATAAATGTAAGATTGTTTATACTAGTTCATGCATTCACTGTGAGAGACACTCTTTGATAATTCTTCAACTCTGATTCTAGATATTGTATATTAACTTTATAGTGTGTCTTGAGATTGAACTGAAGACAGAATTGATGTGAAATATGAAGATTTGAATTAAGCATTTGAAGAAGTGTTCAGAATTCAGGGTTTTTAATTGATTGAAGAGAAAGATTCAGAGATATATATATACAAAGTAATTATTCACAGAAGTTATCAGATGAGAGTTATGAAATCAGAGTATTAATACAGAATCATTTTCACATGATTTTCTTTAAATTAGAAAGTTAGTATTATCAAAAATTATTATCTGATAGAGTAACTTATCAGCTCAGTAGTAATTTTCTGATTATTTTTCTTTTATTATCTGCATTCTGATGACTTTAGATGTTGAGAAATTTCTTCAGAGTTATAATCAGTTTATGATGAATGTTTCTGAATGAAGTTACAGTAATTATAGTAGAGAGATGACTCTTCAGTAATCTGCAATGCAATCTGTTGATAATTATTTCATAGTTCATCTCAATATTTGTGTTGAGTTTTTCATAAATTTCATGACCTGGAATCAGATATGAAGAATGAAGTGATTATTCATCATAATTGAAAGAGAGCATTCTGTGTTGAATTGTAAATAACATAGACTTTGTGATTCACAGTGATTTCTTGAAGAGTTTATGAATCTTCAATAGAAGTAAAAAAAGTAAAAGAAGTGAATTTAGAAGACATGATAATAATTTGAGAAAGATAATAATTTATTTTCAATAACTGATCACTGATGTGTGTAAGAAGAATTAATATAAGAGAAAATAATCTTGTTTCTTAGCTTAGTTATAATTTTAGTACTCACTCAGATTGAATATTATCAATGTATAAAAGTAAATAAACAATCTTGATTAATCTCTATCATATTTCTTGAAATATATTAATATTATGAAAGAGAGTGTTACTAAATTGCATTATCAGATAATATCATTAAAAATATATTAATATTGTAAATATTAATGTTGAAAAAATGTTGATACTTATATATTATAGTGATTTATGAATCATGATAGTTAAATATATATATATATATATATATTGTTTCTGACTTGATTACAACTTGTACAATAATTTTTAAAAACTCAAAATTAATTTCAATTATTAATAATTATGAACTTATAACTAACTAATATAAAAAGAAAAAAACTTTTTCTACTCATCATCTTTCTTCTCTTTCTCATTCTTCTTATTATTCTTCACAATTCACTTTTCATTCTTCTTCTTTTCTTCTTCTTCTTATCTAAGATAATAATCATCTCAAAATCTCTCTCTGCTGCCTTCTCAGAGAAGGGTTTCTGCTGCTTCTCTTCAGTCAGGTCAATCTGCACCTCAAAATTCCACATTTCCTGGTCTGCTGTCTCAGGTTTCACCCCAGTGATAAGCAGATTGACATACTCAGAGAGCAGGGCTGTCTTCTCAATGTCCTGGATTATGAAGTGCATTCAAGACCTGAACAAGGTCTCAATCTCCTTCTTCTCTGCCAGCTCCTGCTAATCAATTAGAGAACAGAAGTGTTATCAAAAATTGTTATCTTTCAATAAAAAACTTATCAGTTTTGACTTCTTTATCTCTCACTTCAATATCTTCTTAATCTTCTTCTGTTATCACTTATTTACAGTAACACTCTTCTTCTCTCTCTCTCTCTTCATCTTGATCTTAAATCATTCTCAGAACTTCTTCTGATCTTATCACTGCTGCATGAGACTCTTCACTGTCTTCTTTTTCAATCTCTCACAGGCAGTGTCATTCACATTATTTCTATACTTAGTTCAGTCTAAATCTATCAGAAGTGTTACTTAAAATTGTTATCATTTTACTTTCTTACAGAGTCTCTTCAAGGCATTATAACATGTCTTATAATCTGTCTTCTCATGCTTGAACACCTTCTTCTTCTCTCTCTTCAATCTGTGACAGTGCTCACGCGCCTTGATGATCTGCAGGACCGCAGAATATTTGAAGAGAAATGACATGATTGGTTTTGATAAGTGTTGAGAGAGAGATAGAGGTAGGCAATAATATGATAATAATGATAATGATGATGATAATTATGATGATGGTGATAGTGATAATGATGATGGTGATAATGATAATAATGAAAGAGAAAGTGCATCAGAATATATTATTAACTTATCAAATATAAAGAGACAAAGAAACTATTAACAGCTTTCAGAGATGTACAGAAATGACTACAGTGTTACATAGCAATATTATCTTCATTTAATACATGCACTATTGATATTCTTTGTATGCATTTATCATATAATCTATATCAGAGATACATGTAGAAAACAGATCTTTGTTACTAGAAAGAATGATTGCAGCAATTCTCTGTTTTCATATTATAAAGATAAGTTATTCTTATTTCTTTCTTCTCTCTTTTCTCTTCTTCTTCAACTCATCACTAAGTTCAAGCTAGTATAAAAACTATTAAAACACTCATAGAAACTCTTAAATTGAAGAGTATAGACTAATCAAATTTTAAATGCAGATGAATCAAATTAATTCAATAATACTAATTATTCATTCTTCTCTCAATAAAACAACAGTCACATCTTTCCCTTCCTTCTCAAATGAAACATGGCTCGCGAAAAGTGAGTACCATGCCAGGCCATAATGATCAACACAGCCTCAGCATGCAGGGCTGTATATACACAGTGTGTGCTGAACTGAGAGACTGCATGAGTTGCAAACTGACAGCAGCATCTCAGAAAGAGCTGTGTGACATGAGAAAGCTGTAACTCTCAGTCATATATACAGAGAATAAATCACTGCAGTAAGTGTATATGCATTGCATGAAAGTAATACTTTTTAATAATACTCAGTCTCTGATATCATGAAAATAGAGTCTCTTTATGAGATTCATTTTTATCAGAAGTCAGAGAATCTTATATTTCTTAAGATCATCTTCACATGTCTTATCTGTGAAATCAATGAGAGAAATCATCAATTTCAGTGTTCTGCTCTTGATATCATTCAAGTGATAGCAGAGTTCACTCTGACCACACTTTTTGAGTGTATATTTTCTAATTATTCACATTTATACAGATATATACTGATTATTTATTAGATGATGTTAAGGCAATGACTCATTGCAGCTGTGTTACTCTCACTGTGAGAAATACACAGTTAATGATGAACATTGCAAAGACTCTGAGAAGTGAGTATTTTGAAAATACTGTAGCTCTGCAACCTTGATTTTTTTTGTTTTTATTTTTTATTTTTTTCTTTTTCTTTTATTTTTTTTTTTTTTTTATTGTGATTTTTTCTTATGTTTGTTTTGTTTTTTGTTTTTTGTTTTTTTTTATATTTTATGTTTTTTTCATAATTAAAATTATATGAATTATGATCTGTGTTTAGAAAAGTAATGATATTTAGTAACACTCTCTATTGAATTTTCAACAAATGAGCACTATGTTATAATATTATATAAGTGAGAAGTGATTTCATGATCTCATTTAATGCCATTCTCAATAATGAGATCAGAATGAAAATGTGACTAAGAATTCAAACATATTCTTTATCTGAGACTAGATTTTTATTTGAAAAGTGAATCTGAGATCTTTAATATTTGAAATAACATGATTTGAGATCAATGTGATGAACACAAATCATGATCAGAAGTAATGCTTTTAGGCAACATGACAACTGTAAAGTTTGATCCTGGTCCCAGACACGGTCACACGGTCAGTCAGACTACATCTCATTCAGAAGCCTGCTTTCTCTTGATATTTACAGAATTCAGAGAGTTATCTAACACAGACATCTCTTTCACTTCAAAGACTTTTTATAGAATATTAGTAAGTGTCTCTGAGCTTACTGATTCTGCTAGTTTTTTTAACTCTCTTACTTCTCTTAACTGTGTACACTGTGTGCAATCTTTTACATCATGATTTTAGCATTCACAGTTAAAGCAAGCTTAATGCTTGTGATATCAAGATTTTCACTCAGAGAATCTCTTTTTCAGAGAATTTAGCACTTTAACAATGATATTCAAATCTAGATTCATCATATCTGAGTATGTAGCTTGTATTATTGAAGTCTGATTATCTGTTCTCTGTTAATATATACTTAATTACAGTATTTTCTGTTATAATTGACTCACTTATTTCTGTATAATGAGAATGTTGTATGCTTCTTTCACTGTGTCTAATTATAAGATTAAGCATTTTCATTTCACTCTTAACTTAAGTATAAGATCATGAATAAAGATCTGTAAATAGAAAGATGTTGAAAGCTCTTCATTCAATATAAGATAGTGTAAGCTGAAGTATATAAAGTATAATATAAGATTACTCACTTATCTACACTCAGTGAAGTATTTACAATACTTATCTTATATATTCACTTTCTCAAAGTTATACAAGATTCATTTGAAAAACTTATTTCATGTTTATGAGAATGAATATTACTTCAGATCTGTGAAATTTATCTTTTTATCAGTTATTTATAATGACTTTGCTTTTCTACATAGAAATGCAGCAGATCTTAGAACTTGTTAAAATTTCATTGACTGTCTGTCTGTAAGTTCATATTTAATCTGATAATATAATTACATCTGACTTAGTCAACTGATTGCAGTATCATTTTTTCAGTCATTATTAAAGCTTAATAACTTCAGTAGATCTTCTAACTTGATATATTTCATACTCAGATTCTCATTCTGTACAGTGATTTCAGATAATATATATACTTCTGAAGAGATTATGAACAATTATAGTGAGATCTTCAGATTCAGTACAGTTATCTATCTATGTAAATATTCAATCTTCTACTGCAGATCTAAGATCTGGTTTTCTCTATTCTTATTAATAATGATAATTATGTCAGTAAAGCTTTTCATAGTGAATGCTTGATTTACAGTGAATATCAATTATTGTTTGACTTCTGCCTCAGCCTGCCACTGTATACACAAGCTCTTAATTTCATTTAGAATTCTCATACATGTACAGAGCTTCAATTCTTTCAGTGATTTCGGCTACTTTTCTTACTGCTTTAAGTAAACTCTCTAAGAGGTTCTGCATATCTTTCAGTTCAGATAGCAGAGAAGAATGTTTATATTAGCTAGAAAAGATATTCATTTCAGTGATTTCTCATTGATTATATAATGTCTATTATTATATTACTATATCATTATATCACTATATTATTATATGATTTCTGTTATTATTGTATGACTTCAGTGATGACTATCTCTCTTTTTATTCTTCTTTTAAATAGAGAGTGAACTTCTTTAAATCTGATTCATCACTCTCATCTTCTTTCTCACATCTTATTCATTCACATACATAGCATTTATCTGAGTGTGAAGTTTTTTCTCAATAAGTAAAGCAGTATCAATCAGATACTCTTTCACTCATCACTCTTTATATACTATCTTTTGAGACATTTTAGAATCATACTGACATGATAACTATAAATCACTTCATAGATGGAATTATCATGCACTGAAGAAGTCTGTGCTTCTCACCAGTTTTTAGACATGCTATCAGATGTGATTCAAAGATTGCTTGAGTCAGTGTACAATTACAGGCATACACCGGCTTCTTATATACTGTACACTAAATTAATTGGTGGCTGCTATGACCCCTTTACATTCGTAAGCAAGTTCGGAAGCGGCCGTGTTATTATTCAACAGTTGTACATTCTTCCGAATCACAAGATCATACTTCTCTTTCAATCTGACTCTGAGACTATTGTATAATGCACAGTGCATTACAATATACTCAGGATTCTCATTTGTATTGCAGAATAAGCATTCTATTGAATTAAATCTATCATTAAATCTTTGCATATAAGATTCTTTTATCTTCCTCTTTATAAAAGATCAGAACACTGTTTTTTGAATAGATCTGCTTAATTCTGAACTCTTTTTTACAGCTGAATCAGTCAATTCATTGCTATGAATATTTATATAAGCAGGAACTTAGTGCAGATGAATTATTAGTTTTAATATTCTTCTCTTTTGAATTTTCAAAACAGAGTTTAAAATCAGTTTAAGATTTATTTAATTATTATAAATCTGACTATTTCTAAGTCTTTTTAAAGCAGCTTGACTATTAGAGAATATTCATATCTCTTTCAAACTATTTTCTCTTTTATGAGATTTTATTTTAATGAGTTTGAAAGCTTTCACTATTATAAATAGTTTAGCATCAAAGACTTCAGATTCACAGTCTAAATTTCAGAAATCTGAGATAAAATTGATATTATCTTCAGTATAAGCAATGTCTGTGTCTAATCTATTCAAATTCTCATTTTTTGAGCTATCTGAGTAAACCAGAATAGAGTCTTTTATATTGATTATAGAGATCTTCTTTAAATGCTGTTCATATTCTCTCTCTTTAGATAGTTTACTTATTTATAAGTCTATGAGAGATTTCAGCTTTTCTCTTCAGAGAGATATCTTCTCATGATTAATTTTCTCAACATTTAATGAAGAAAATTGATTGTTAATAAGTGAACATAGTCTATACAGTTGAGAGAGTATTTTCTTTAAAGTATTATTCTCATTTCAATCAAGAAATCTATTTCACTTCAGTTCATTTCCTGAGTTAACTGATGAAAATGAAGAAGAGACTCTTTCTCTGATTATATGATTTGAGCTCATCTTCTTGACTCTCTGTGGCGGGCTGCGCCCGATTAATTATATAGACTATTCCGTTACACTCCACAGATTCCTACCGCTCCGATTCTCGGTCGCCGATCCTCGGCCGAAAACCTACAGAATTTCTATTCTTCCACCCCGAAGCGGCACCGCGTACGCCACCATGTATGTGTATAAATATTCACTTCAATCACTGATTCTCACACTTTCTCTTTCTTTTCTTCTCTAACATTTTTCACTTTGTTATATAAGACCTATAAATATTATATCAATCTATTCAGTGTAGATCTCTTACACTTGAAAAATATTCATTATCTTCTTATTAGAAATGATTATTTATATTTATTATCTTCTTATTAGAAACAA